CCCGCTCTCTCTCTCTCTCTCTCTCTCTCTCTCTCTCTCTCTCTCTCTATATATATATATATATATATATATATATCCAAATTTCTAACTAAAACTTATCAAAAATGAAAATACTATATTTTTAAAATTTAATTTTTATATTTAAATTTGATTGCAATAAATACATAATTGAGCAACTCATTAATATTTTATCAACTTCTATCTTTTTTAATGTAAATTTTCAAAACACATTTAATTTATTTTTGTATTAATTTTCAATGTTTTCTCTCTTATACTTTTTTCTATTTTTTAACCTACCATTTTTTTTTTCTATTCATGTGTTCTTCATTTAACTTCTTTATTTATCTTTACACTTATTTTGATTATCTTACACAATTTAATGTAAGATTTCATCAATAACTAATTAATATTAGCAATATTAATTAAATTAAATTTTCATTAAAAAATTTCTACTAAATTATTTTGACCCATGTATCGCCTAGACCATATTTACTTTCCTTTGGTGTGAACACATAATATGTGTTTATAAGTATTGTTATAATTTGTTTTAGGACTAGGGATTTTTTTTTGAAAAATATAGAAAAGACTTACTTTTACAAAAATAAATTTTCAAATCATTAGGTTAAAAAATATAAAGTTATAATATTAATAAAAAAATGATTCTCAAAATGTAAAAAGAACTTAAATACTAAATGAAAAAGTTTTGTCTTTGTTTTCGTACATTTCCTAACTTCATTTCATAAAAATATGTTCATCCCTATATTTTTATTTTATATATAGAATATAATTTTTATATTAACAAACATATATATTATCATTGTATATTAAAAAATTAAATTTATCCTCTTGAAATAAATTTCAATTCGTTACATTAATGAGAAGATAAAAAATTAGAAATTTATAATGATTTGAGTAAAAAAATAAATTTGAAAATTAATATTATTCAAGTAAAAATTTATATAAAATACTTTTATATTAAAATTATTATTTCTATTATAATTTAAAAAGTTAATTTCACGATAATATTTTAGATGTTAATGTTACTTCAAGTAAATAATTCATACTTATGAGGTATGTGTAAACTGTAAACTCCATTTAATTCCATAAAAATTAAAATTTATTTTGATGAATTTTATTTTATGTTATATTTAATTTTTATATCAACAAATTTACAAATAGATATCAAGAAAATATATATTTCTATATAAAAGAAATATTTATGAGAAGCATAACAAAATTATAAACATAGTAATTATAAGCTTAACAATTATCATTAGATAGATTGAATCAATGTCTCATAAGGAATTTTTGAAGTTAGAAGAAAAACACATAGAAGGAGGGTTAAATATGTGTGGGTGTATTTGGAGGAATTTTAAAAACGTTTTCTCAAAGGGACTCTTTTTCGTCCAATAAAAATATTATTTTGAATACTTAAGAACTGTGCAGGATTTGCTTAACAAAGGATTTTTTGTCTGAAAGTTCATCGTCTGCACAAGAAAAATGTTTCTTAAGATAATACGTTAAGCAAGTGTCTTTTTCGTCTGAAGAGAGTTATAGTGAAAAATAAGCATTAGACGAAATATCAACTAAACGAAATTGCGTCTAAAACATAGATAAATAGTGCAAAGGTTTTTATACTGGTTCGCTCAGACTAAGCAACGTCTAGTCTCATTCAATTGAAGGGTTCCACTAGATTTTCAATTAAGTACAAGTATTATCACCACTTCTGGTTTGCCAAGTATTGTCGACCACTTCTGGCCCGCCAATTTCACTCGTGAGTGCTAGTATTTTCTGTTCAGCCTCTTTAAACTCACAGTGAGTATTCTAGATCACTCTTGGTCCCCGAGTATTATCAACCACTCCTGGTTCGCCAACTTTACTTATTGGCGCTAGTATTCTTTGTTTAGCCTCTTCAGACTCTTAGTGAGTATTCTCGACCACTCCTGGTCCCCGAGTATTATCAACCACTCCTAGTTGGCTAACTTCACTCATTAGCTCTAGTATTTTTTGTTCAGCTTCTTCAGGCTCGTAGTGAGGATTACCGACCACTCTTAGCTCGCTAACTTCACTCATTAGCGCTAGTATTATTTGTTCAGCCTCTTCAGGCTGTTAGTGAGGATTCTTTGACAAGCCTCTCCAAGCTT